TTGAGCTTCTCGGCATTCTTGATGAGATTCTCTAGTTTTATTTAATCATGAGTGTCAAAAGTATTTTATACTCATGTGGCTCTGAAGCCTCGTTATGCAGTTTGCTACAGACAAGAGAAGTATTCTTCCGGTTGGGGATATCTCAGATGTCATAGCGGATGAAGATGTGGACATTGCTGTCCTGGAAGAGCCTGAGCATCTCACGTGGTTTCATCACGGGAAAAGTTGGAAAGCTAGGTTCAACTATGTCATAGGGATCATACACACAAACTACTTGGAGTATGTAAGAAGAGAGAAAAATGGCCGTTTAAAAGCGTTTCTCCTCAAGTACATGAACAGTTGGGTTGTTGGAATTTACTGTCACAAGGTAAACGTCTGTTATTATCCGTAGTTTTTTCCTTAGCATGGCTATATTGATGATGATGATGATGATGATGATGATGATGCAACAACACTGACTCAACAGGTGATCAGATTATCTGCAGCCACGCAAGAATACCCGAGATCTATGGTTTGCAATGTTCATGGTGTAAACCCCAAATTCCTAGAGATTGGGTTGAGAAAACTAGAACGGCAGAAGCTGCAGGAGCAGCCTTTCACGAAAGGAGCATACTACATAGGTAAGATGGTGTGGAGCAAAGGCTACAAGGATCTTCTTAAACTGCTGCGGAATCACCAGAAGGAACTTGCTGGTTTAGAGGTTGATTTGTATGGTCATGGAGAAGACTCTGATCAGATTACAGAGGCTGCTCGTAAGCTGGACCTTACGATTAGAGTTCACCCTGGACGGGATCATGCTGACCCAATATTCCACGAGTAAGTTCAATACCTAAACAACCCCATGTTCTTCTTTTTTTAGTAATGGTTGATAACTGAAATCTTGAACAAGATACAGTAAAGAACTGAGATTGAAGTAATATGTTCATGATAACGAATGCTTTGGTGGGGTTGGGAGTATAGTATGTTGTCTATGTTGTGCTGATTATTGGGGTTTTTTTATATATTGGGTTTCAGTTATAAAGTGTTTCTGAACCCGAGCACGACAGATGTGGTCTGCACGACAACAGCTGAGGCCTTGGCGATGGGCAAAATCGTGGTATGTGCGGATCATCCGTCAAACGAGTTCTTCAAACAGTTTCCAAACTGCAGAGTCTATGTGGACGGCAAAGGATTTGTGAGAGAGACGCTCAAGGCGCTCGGGGAACAGCCAAGTCAGCTGACCGACCAGCAAAGGCACCAACTGTCGTGGGAAGCGGCCACAGAAAGGTTTGTGAAGGCAGCCGAGTTAGAAGAAGCGGGGCCGGGAATGGACATGGGTTCGTCAAAGGGATCTTCAGAGTCGTGGGCATTGTCAAAGAAGATGGAGTTTGCGTCGACTTCCATGAATAATGTGGGGAGAAGGTTGGAGGAGATGTCGGCCTATCTGCATAAGTTGGCGTCAGGGAATGAAGCGTCAAGAAGAGCGTTTGGAGCTATCCCTGGGAGTCTGGAACCTGACGAGGAGCTTTGCAGAGATCTGGGCTTGACCCTTAAGCCTAAGCCTAAGCCTCCCTCCCGTAAACGATCCAAATTAGACTAACCTTTTTTTTAGGGCTCTCGGTCGAAAACTCATGTTTGGGTTTCTTAATCATTTTGATTTGTGAATGTGTGTTACACCCATATGGTATATGGGAAAACGTCGTGGCCGTAAGATTTCAAAGACTATGCAGTTATGCACGGCTGCTTCACGGAGGATGTCCCAAGTGTAACCTCTCTCTAAGCGCCTTTTCCCCCTTGCAAATCCTCCCCAAAGTCTTCAAACCCTAACAATCGTCTACATCTCTGTACACATTTTCCATTTGTCTCATCTCAATACAATAATGAACGATTAGGGTTGAAGATCAGAGACTGCACAACGCATTTTCTATTGGATCTGACATTCAGGATGCCAAAATGAAGGAATGAGAGAACAAGAATTGATTCTTCTTAAAAAAAAAAAAAAAACAACTGGTAATGGTATACATGAAGGATTACAAGCATAAACTTGGTGGTACACAACAATGTAAAAATGAAGAGGAAAAAAAAAACACAAAAGAAGAAAAATAAATAAAATTTGAAGAGAGAGAGAGAGAGACTCCCCATCCATCAATACCCATGTTTCCTACCATACTTTTTTTTTTGGTTTGGTTTAAGATTTGCCAACTCCTCCAGGAAGCTTGGAAACAGGGTAGGGTAAGGAGGAGGCAGCCAAGCCAAAGAAAACAGAGTTTGTTCCAAAATTGATGTACACTGCAAATTTTTCAGCCTAAGGGGGGAGAGAGAGAGAGAGAGAGAGAGAGATCTCATAAGTGGGAGAGAGACTATCTCATACATCCTACAACCCGATGTTGAAAGTCTCACTCTCTTTCGCTTCTTTTTCTTTCTTTTTTTTTTTGTTGGAGCATCTGCCAATTCATATTCCCTAGATAGTAGCATGTGAGGGCATTAGACGGTGTCGCAGCTCTGGAGATGCACCTGCCATTTCTGCATTTGGCACACACACGCACACAGAGTGTTGTTCTTTTAGCAACACCAACAACTACATCTTAAATCACTATGTTCATTGGCCTCTTTCTTTCACTGGCATCCAAAATCCAATAAAATTTTAGCACTCATCCAGCACATTCTCCAGGCCTACGATGAATTTGAGACACTACAAAAATAGTTTCTTTTCATTTTTCTTCACAATGCTATCCTCCTCATTTACATTTTCCATACCCAAAAAAAAAAAAAAGAGGTAAAATGATTTGAAGCTGACCTTGAGCAGTGAAGTTAAACAATGGAGGCATTGCTCGCCCATTAGGCAATGAAACACTCGGATCCCGCAGGTCATCAAAGAAGGGGTGTGCACATGCTTCCAACTGGTGAAAACAATGGTAAAGAAAAAGAAAAAGAAAGGATTTAAAAGAATTCAAACTAGAAACTGTTTTGGAGGCTAAGGAATCTCTTGTATTCATGAGGGGTCCAGTCTATAGTCTTACAGCAGTGCAACGAAGGTTTGGTGAATACTGGAGGAGTCTTGACACGAGATCCACAGCTTCAGGTGGCATCCGCTTATGGAAAATCTGAAATATAATTGTGCTGCGTTAGATTTCAATCAAGCAGGCAAACAATTATTCTACACACAAGCATACGAAAGAGGAAAACAGTGAGATTGCTTCACGAACCTTGTGCCATGGGTGAGCTTTAATTTGGGGAAACTTGAATTCCGTGTAATTAGGATTCATGCACCGTATTTCTTCTCTGGTCGGCGTCCCAAGAATCTGATGTATGTCCAGATGATATGCATAAAATACAGATTAGAAGAAGAAAAGGAACGCAAATGCAACAGATAAAGTACCTTGATTATCTCGACCAGCTGATCTATTCCACTTTCTCCGGGAAATAGTGGCTACAAATAGAACATCAATGGTCAAAGCCAGATCGGACACTGTATTTCTAGAAAATACAATATGATACACAGGCAAAAACTAATTTTCACCACAAACTTGTACATAACTCCATGACAGAGAAAAACTCACTTGGCCAAGTAAAAGCTCTGCCATAACACAACCAACAGACCACATGTCAATGGCATTTGTATACTCTGTAGCCCCAAATATAAGTTCAGGGGCCCTGTAGTACCGTGAGCATATATACGATATGTTGGGTTCGCCTGGCACCTGAAGAAACACAAGCATGTCAATACGTGCTCACTGAAACAAAAATGATTCTGGGTACACATTGAGGAAAGTACGTACCAGCATCTTTGCACTTCCAAAATCGCATATTTTTAGCTGGTGAGTGTGGGGATTCACCTGAAACAATGCACATGATAACCCATAGTCAACACGCTGTCCAGTAATATTGTTTATACTGCTTCTAATGGTGATTCAACAAAGGCATGGACAACAAAATTTCCACAACCTACCAGCAGATTTTGTGGCTTGATGTCACGATGACACACCCCAACTGCACGATGCAAGTAGTTGAGTGCCCGGCAAATCTGTAAACAACAAAAAAATTAAAACCAAAGAATCGGTAAAAACGATGCAAACCACAAGACCATAGTGCTACTGCCACGCAGACTAGACAAAGAAATAACAGCAGGAAAACTTCAAAAGCCTAACCTGATATGTGTAGAGCTGAACATAGATAATCGGCATATGTTGATTCATTTTGGTATAATGCTTTAAAGCTCGGTATACAGTTTCCGGAACATACTCAAGGACAAGGTTGAGATACAGCTCATCCTTATCGGTTGTTGAAAAGAACGAGTGTCTCAGTCGCACAGCATTAGGATGGTCTAGCAAGCGCATTATCTGGAGCTCTCTGTTTTTGTATCTTTTATCCTGAAGAACCTTCTTGATTGCAACTTGTTCACCAGTTTCTAGGCACTTTGCCTACATGGTAATCGAAATGGCAGACAAGAAATCAGATTCCGAAAATGAAGAGATAAAAAGTTTCATTCTCTCCTAACAATCGTATCCGCCTACCTGAAAGACAACTCCAAATGAGCCAGTTCCGACCACTCGCTGGGCCATGTAAGAGATTGTCTAAAAACATTAAATGTGGTATCATGTTAGAATAATAACAAAACAGTGAACATGAAAAAGGGGGGAAAACAGGAAGAAGGGCACAATTACAAAACATTTAGTTGAATCACCTGCTTAGGCATTCCATCTCTACCCCCAACTGTCGTAGTAATAACCTGCCCGGTCTCTGTACCGTTGCCATTTACAATAGTTGTTTCCATATCCTGAACCAGGCAAGGGAAACTTTAACAATCCCTGATATAGAATCAGAAATCATAGAAGGAATTTATAAAGCAAATCACCTTCTCCTCACTGTTGGCATTTCGCTCATCTCTGATTCTCATTTCAAGCATTACATCTGGAAGCTTTTCATAGGCTGGCTTTTCTGCGGCTGCAGGGTCATTTGACGCCCCCGCGACACTTTCTTGCAATATAATGGCTGCATTCTGCTCTAGACCAGAAACATTTTGGTCAACCTGCATAGGTTCACCGCAGATTTGTTCATTCTCTTGATCCACCTTCGCTCTCTTCAGTCCATAATCGCCACCCTGCACGGTTTAGTCAAAGTTCACAAAGCAATTCGCATCAGTCAAATTTACCAAACTTGCTACGATTATCTATCGAGATTTATCAGCTCATCAGCAACCAAGAGGAATATGGAACTCTGCAAATGTCTGATACAGAACAAAGATAGGAAAACATGGTCTCAGACCATCAAAACCCGTCCAAAATCGTAGCGGCACTATAACATCTACGCTAAGGGGAGAACAAACTCAATCTCGAACAGAAAATAAACGAGATTAAACACATCCAATCCGACATATGATCACAAACTCTCGTTTTCCCGCAACCAGAAACAGAAATTCAATATGATCGGAAG